CCGCGGGAGGAACGGGGCAGCGTGGGCAGGGCTCGCCCCGCACGGCCCCCGGGAATGCCAGGCCAACGGCCGGGGCGCCCAAGGCCGCAGGGTCTGACCCGGTGGGCCGGGCAGCAGGGGGCCAGGACCTTTGCCACCGCCATTCACGAGCGGGGGGCGAGGTCTCCTCCAGCCACGGATGGCAGCAGCTACCGGGTGACAGCTCAGCGGGAAAGGCAGACAGCAGCGTTGCCACCGCAAGAGTGGGTGCCCGGCCTGCTGGGTGGGGCCGAAGCGCCCCCCGCCGGCGGGCATCACTTTGGAGACAGGAAAGGCCCGCGGGGAGTGTGAGGGCTTCCTGTTTGATCCCCTGGGGTTTCCTGGAAAGGCTTTCTGCCCAGGAGACGGCAGAGGGCAAGCACACGTGTGCTCGTGGGGTGCCCGCGTGCACCTGCGTGCTCCTGTTTGGGGGCTCGTCGGGGGCGTAGCCCCCCAGCACCCGAGGCAGAGCTCCCTGCCCAGGCCTCCCCCAGCCCTTGAGCAGGCTGTGTTCTCCAATGCGGGGAGCAGGCCCTCTCCCCAGGAACACAGCCCACACGCGGCCTCTTGCCCTCGGCCCTTGAGCCCCACCCGGTGGGGCCTCGGTGACGCTGGTCCGTCCCTGCCTCTGCTCCCAGAGAAGCGGGCTTGAGCAGCGGCAACGCCCGAAGCCAGAGCAGCTGACCCCCGGCGGCCAGCCAGCAAGGGCGCGGTGCCGCGGCTCCCTCAGTCCACGTGGGACCCCTGGGCACCAGGGCCCCAGGCTGCAGGCGCCCCGGTTCGGCCTAGGACCCGAGTGTGCTGGCTCATGGCCTCCCCACGGCAGCTGCTGGTCACCTCCACGTGCGTGGTTCCAGCGCCATGAGTGGCCAACCCCAACAGCACCTGGAGGGAAGAAATAGACGAGGCTCCTGGTCCAGGGGCGCTTGGGGCACAACCCCGGTCCCGGGAGGAGTGAAGAAGCCTCCAGGCGCCACCTTTAAGTGAGACCCTAATTCCACGCGGTGCCATGTGGTTTTCATTTTTATCATTTCTGGGAAAATCAGGCGCCTGCAGTTACAATGGGCCCGGGACCCCGCGGTTTCGTTCCAGGTCGTCCCTGAGGCCCGCTTCGGACTGAGGCGGAGTCACGGCCCACGGCCCCTCTGGCCCCGGGCTTGCCGGCGCTGTCGCTGCGGGCAGGGGAAGCCACAGCTCGCAGACCGAGGAGGCTGCCTGGTGAGCCACCCAGCTCTCGGGCCCGCAGAGGAGCCGGGAGCCCGAGGCCTTGGGGTGGGCCCAGCCCTGCGCATCCTCCAGCCTCTCGGCCCTGACCCATCCCCCGGCCCTGCTCCCACACGCCCGCCTGCGGGCACGTCTGTCACACAAGCCCCTTGGCCTGGAAGCGGCTCGTAAATATCCCATCACGTGACAGGACAGCGACCACACGCTCCGGCCTACGGGAGGCGAATCCACGTGATGACGGCTCCCATAAACAAACGTGCCTTGGGCCCCCGCCCAGAGGACCCTCTCCGAGGGGGCTGTCTGGTGGCCCTGCCGGCGAGGGCCTGCCGGCGGTCAGCCGCCGATCAGCGGCCCGGGGCTTTGAAAGCAGATTGGGTTACACGGACGATGCGGCGCCCGTGGGCACGGCAGCCAGCTCGGGGCCCCGCTGGGTTGTCCCCAGTGCAGGCTGTGGGTGAGGCCCGGCGTCTCCTGTTCACGGACACCCCCACAAAGCCGGGGTGCCTGGCGAGCGTTATTGTCACCCCCGTTTCAGGTAGGAACGGAGGAACAGAGAATAAAGTAACGCGCCCGAGCTCGCACTTCTTGAGATGGCAAAGCGGGACCCCAAAGACGGCAGGGCTGCCACGAGCTCACGCTCTGAGCCGCTGTCCCTGGAACGCCCCCCGGGGCTCAGGGTGTGCTGGTGGGGGGCGGGGGCACAGAATCAGCCGGACAGAGCCATCGGACCACAGAACACAAGGAGGCACCCGGGCGGGGACAGAGCAGCTGAGGGAGGGCCAGGGGCAGAGGGCGCCTCGCTGGGCCTCGAGGGAGGTGCATGAGTTCAGCGCGCGGAGCTGGGGGGCAGAGGACGCACCCTCCAAGTCAGGGAGCGGAGCCGTGAAGGCCGGGCGGGGCCGGCCACAGAGACGGCGGGCTCCGAGGGCTGGGGCGCTGGTTCCCCACTGAGGGGCGCAGGGAGCCTGGCAGCCCCGCAGAAGGGTGGCAGGGCCCTTGGGCATCACCGGGTGCCCTGCGGAGGGCGAGGGGGAGCTGGGAAAGGTGGGGCAGAGTGGGGAGGGGCCTCGGCTTTGTGCTTTCCACTGAGACGCCCTCTCTGTGGTTCGGGTAGGAAGGCGTTTATGAGGCGGTCCCGGTGCCAGGACAGGCCCCCCCGCCCCCCTCCCCCCGTTACTGTGCCCAGAGGCTGGAGGGCAGGCCGGGGGCGGCCTGAGGGGTGAGGAAGCACCACCGGCAGCGCAAGCGCGCCTCCCGCCTGCAGGGGCGGTGGCACAGGACAGGGAACGGAAGGCAGCACAGCCTGGGACCCCCACCCCGTCCTGCGAGGGGCCCGCAGCGGAGGAGCCTCCTCACACAGAGGCTGGAGGCCGCTTCTGCCCACCCCGACCCCCGCTTCTCCGGAAAAAGTTCCAGCCTTTTCATTGTAAAAGAGCATCTAATTTAGAGATCTGTTAATACGGAGAGAGTGAGCACAGATCGCCTCCTCGGGCCTCCGTCTGTGGACTCTGTCTGTGGACTCTGTCTGTCTTAACAGCCTGGTTTGACTGCTGGCTGTGTGGCCTGGGGCAGGTTGGTTAACCTCTCTGTGCTGTTTCCCCAGCAGTAACGGGAATACCAGCAGCACCGCCTGCCTCCTGAGGCTGCTGAGAGAGCAGCGAATGGGGCACATCAGGGGGCAAGGCACAGCCCCGCCCTGCGGGGGCGCAGACTACCCAGGCCCCTCCCTCAGGCGCCTCCCCCAGGGCCCCCCAGGATCCCGGGTTTGTTGCAGATCTTTCCTTTTTCTTGGGACCTATCTTGGGGGGAGAGGTGTCTCAGCCCCCAGCACCCAGGTTCCCTCACCCCCATACCGGCTCCGCATCATCCTCTTGCATTTAAACTTTCTGGGTCACAGAGGCTGCGAGGGCCGCAGGGCAGAGAGCGACTCAACCACCCTCACTACCCTGTGGAGGAGAGAAAGTCGGGGTAAAGGCCGGACAGGGCGAGGCCGGGGGCCTGTCCGGAGCCCAAGGACAGCGAGTAGGGAGTGCGGGAACCACAGGGTCCCACCCAGCCTCGTGGACCGAGGCCTGAGGGCGGGGGAGGACAGAGAGGCTGTCGGTGGGGAAGGGGGTGCATAGGCAGCACCAAAGGGCCCCGCTCCCCAGCGCCTCTGGCCCAGGACGTGGGGCCCCTGGCCCAGGGTGTGATGGGGACCCTGTTTGTCACCTTCCAGAACACTCCATCCTGGATGCCTCCATGGGTCCCCGCGCGTCTGCTGGCCTCCAGAAGGGAACCGGGCCGCCCCGCTCCTCTGGGGCCCGCGGCACGGGGGAGTCTGGGAGTCTGGCCTGCCATGGAGGCGACCCTGGCCCCAGGCAGAGTCCTCCGCACCCAGGGCCGCGAGCGCAAGGCCTGCTTCTGCAAACGGACGGCCTTCGGGCCCGAGCGCCTCCGACAAGGGTCCCCCGGGCGTTCCTAGCAGGGACGGGGCTCGGCGCCTCCATCAGCAGAGCTGAGCGGGAGGCCACTCGGCCACCCCGCTGCCACCATCTCGCCCACCCAGGGGGCACCTCCGTGCCGCCGAGTCCCCAGAGGGCAGGCGACTAAAAGTCCCACCTATGGGTGCAGGTGAGAAGCCAGGCTGGGGCACGGGCGGAAAAGGGGTGGTGCGTCCCCATGGGCCTGACAATTCCGCCCCTCCCTCCCCACCCTGTTGGGAATGCTGCCCACAGGTGTCCCGTTTGGTCAGAAATTGAGGAACTTGTGCGCACCCCCGCCCCCCAGCCAGACTTCGCGCCTGCAGCGGCCGTCACAGGTCTAGGGACACTGAGGCAGGCGATCCCCAGGGACACGGGATCCCTGCGCTGGGTCTGGAGCCAGGGGCGCAGAGACCCGGCCCCACCACCGCGCGGCCCTGAGCGCATCGCGGATTCATCCACACACGCGGAAGCGTGCGCCAGGCCAGCCTCGCAGAACCAGGCTGGAGAGGAAGGCCGGGTGGGCCCCGCGGTTCCCCCCGCCCCCAACAAATTTAGAGCAGTCCCGCGCCCCAGCTTCCCGGGGACGCCACCGAGGGCCGGCCGGCTACTGCTGCCCGCGCTAGGCACGGACTCAGCGAGGACGCCGTGCACCCTGATCGCCTTTCTTGCGCTGTCCCGCGGGCCGGGCCTGCGCGGTCACGTGGCCCCGCGGCCGCGGCCCCAGAGCTGACCCCGCGGGGAGGGAGTGGAGGGCGCGGGCAGGGGAGGGGCGGCGCGGCGGGGGCGGGCCGGGGCGGGGCGGCCGGAGCGCCCGGGATTCCCTGCGGAGCCGCGCGGGCTCCGGCTCCCAGTCTCCAGATCGCCTGTCACCGGCCCGCCGCGACCGCTGCGCCCTCGGGGACTCACGACGAGCCGGTGGGAGCCCCCGCCGGGCTTGCCGCCGCGCACCCCTCCGCGGCGCGGTGCCCCCGCCCAGGGCAGCGGAGCCCCAGCTCCTGGCCCTGCACCCTGTGGACGTGGGGCCTGACCGGCCGCCTTTCCCAGCCCCCGCCGATCCCACTCTGGGAACCTCGGAAGCGCAGACAGTGGAGGAGGTGAGCTAGGCGCTCTGGCTGCCCCGGGACTGCCCTGGCTGTCCTGCCCCCGCGGGTCGGGGACCCGTCCCCAAAACCGCCAGGCGAGGAAGTGGGGAGCGCAGCCCAAGAGGCAGCACCTGCCAGGTGGCGGGATCCATAGCGGCGAGACCTCAACGCCCGACCCTCTTCCTCGCAGGTCGAGGCCGCCCCCGGGAAGATGTACCAGAGCCTGGCGTTGGCCGCGAGTCCCGGCCAGGCCGCCTACGCGGACTCGGGCGCCTTTCTGCACGCGCCAGGCGCTGGCTCCCCGGTGTTCGTGCCGCCGGCGCGCGTCCCCTCCGTGCTGCCCTACCTGCCGCCGTGCGAGCCGGGCCCCCAGCCCGCCGCGCTCGCCGCGCACGCCGCGCACACCGGCTGGGGGCAGGCGGCCTCGGCAGACTCTCCGGCCTTCGGCTCCGGCAGCCCGCGCGCGCCGGTGTCTCAGCCGGCCGGGGCCACCTCCTTCTCCTTCGCGCACAGCCCCCCGGGGCTCGGCAGCGGCGGCGGCGGCGCGGGGAGCCGGGACGGCAGCACCTACCAGGGCGCGCTCCTGGCTCGCGATCAGTACCCGGCCCCGCTCGGGCGGCCTGTGGGCGCCTCGTACCCCGCTGCGTACCCGGCCTACGTGAGCACCGAGGTGGCCCCGTCCTGGGCCTCTGGACCCTTCGAGGGCAGCGTCTTGCACAGCCTCCAGAGCCGCCCGGCCGGTTTCCCTGGCCGCAGAGCCGCCTTGGGTGAGTGCGGGTGCCCCGCAGTCCCGGGATGCAACCTGCGCACAGGAAAGGCGGCGCTATCCTGGCCAGGGGGCTCACCAGCGTGGACGGCCAGGCGGCGCCCGCCACAGCCTCCCCACCCGCAATGAGGAGCCCGCGCCCTGAATTCTTTGCGCGCTTGTTAGAAGGCGGCGTGTCTGTTCCACCTTTCCTGCAGTCTGGAGGGGCCAACTTAGAGCCTACATGCTAAGTGTTGTCGTGAAAGGTCTTGAAAGTGATTGTATAAAGTTCAAAACACCGATTTATTTAAGCAAGCTGCCACGTTCGTGTCTGTCCTGGCGTGTTTACATATTCTAATCTGAGACCTGGTTCCAGCGCCGCCCCGCTATAAATTTGGGTGATCGGGTCCCAGCGCCATAAATCTGAGAACACTCCACCCCGATCCTGTGGGGTCAGGGTCACCGACACTTCCTCACCCAGTGGCCGAAATCCAGAAACCCAGAGCCACGCCTCTGCCGCTGCCCGCAGGGACCCCCGCGCCCGCCTCCCCGCCCACCCCGGGTGCCTCGCCGCCGCCTGGCCCCAGAGCGGCCTTTTGGTCGCAGGAAGCGGGTCGCCCGGCTGGGCACCCGCTCCCGCCAAACGATGATTGATTCCCACTCCGCCTCCCCACCCGGCCAGACGGCGACCCTGCGTCGCCAGCGTCCAGCCGCCGGGGGCCTGGGGGCTTGTGACAGAGGTGAGCTGAGCCGCCTCCCGCGGCAGCCACTGTGAAGGCCCCTGGTCCCTGTGGGATCCCCAGATCTGGCCCTTCAGGTCCTCCCCCTCGCTCGGCAGAGGACCGGCCCTTGGGCCCCTCCCTCTGCCGGTGCGGACCCTCCTGCCTCCCCAGGGGGCCAAAACCACAGACCCAATGCCGGGCCGCCGCCCCCTGGTTCCCCCTGAGGTTTATCTTATGAACCTCCCCGCACTTTATTAAACCAACCCCAGGGAGCATTTCAGAGTCCCACAGACTTCACTGCACGCGAACTTAAAACTAGATAAAATGTATTTCACGCTAAAATACATTTAAGGCACAAAATAAAAGGGAGAAAGCGCCACAAACACCCCGAGCTCCAGGAAGGGACAGAGCCTGGGCCCACGCGCTGCCTATCCCGCAGTGTCCGACTTCTTGGAGGAGTTCCCCGGCGAGGGCCGCGAGTGTGTCAACTGCGGAGCCCTGTCCACGCCGCTGTGGCGCCGTGACGGCACCGGCCACTACCTGTGCAACGCCTGCGGCCTCTACCACAAGATGAACGGGGTCAACCGGCCGCTCGTGCGGCCCCAGAAGCGCCTGGTGAGTGCGCGCCGCAGGGCCGGGAGGGGCCGGCCGTCCTGTGCGCCCTGGGACAGTGGGAGGCCAGCTGCTGGCTGTGGCAGGAAGGGACAGGGATGAAAGACCTGCTTCCTGAGCGAGAGGCTGCAATGTGGGGGCTCTGCGTTCTCCCGGGAAGTGCTCTGTCCCTGGGCGGGGATAGCCTGTGGATGGCTCAGCCCTGCGGCTCCCAGGGGTCCGGGTCAGAGGCGAGGGGACCTGGCGGAGGAGGGGACTGGAGGGCGGGTATTCACTGCGCTGGAGGACAGGAGAGGAGCTTCGGGTCCCCCGCCACTGCCGGCCGCCCCGGTGGGGAGCGTTTTTTCCTGATCCTAAGGGATAGGGACCAGACCGGGTCTGGGGTTGTTTGGTTGCTCTCAGGGCAAAACTTGTTTTCACTTTTGGTTCCTTCTGTTGGGTGGCCGGGTGGGAGTGGGGGACCGGGAGCCGGACTTTTGCCCCAGGCGGGGCAGAGTCCCCAGAAGTTACTTTGCTCTGCCCTTTTGCGGGCAAGCTTTGATGTTCACTTAATTTTGTAAATACGCGGAAGGGCCTGCTGGGGTTTCGAACTGTCTAAGGCGGCGAGGCCCCCGCGGGGGCCCGGGCAGGGGTGCAAGGCTGGGGGTGCTGGTCCAATGCGTGCTCGCTCCTCTGAGCCCTGTCAGGGCCAGCCGGCCGGTTCTGGCCGGTTCTGGCCAGTTCTGGCGCGTCAGGCCCTGGCGGGGGTGGAGGGGGCCGGTCTCCGGCCGACGCTGTGGGGTGGCCCAGCAGCCTGCACGGTCGCCTCTCTGGGCTGGGGCGCTCAGCTGCAGGCCTGCCCTGGAAACAGAAGCCCCCTCCACAGCCGTGGGAGCGTCGGGCCCACCCTCCGAGCCCCAGACCGGGCAGGCGAGAGGCAGGGTGGTCTAGGTCCGGCCGTTCCAAGGGGGCCGCTGTTTGGGCCCCCCGGCCCTGGCCCGGAGCCCAGGGCTCTGGGGGTCCCCAGCCTCACCGTGCCTCTCGGAGAGCGGGGACCCCATGGAGGCCCGTCACCCCCACTCTGGCCTCCGCGCCCGCACCCCCAGTCTGCCGTGTCTTCCGGCACCTGGTGCGGCCCTCGCTGATGGGGCAGCGTGGGCTGAGGGGGGAAGGGTCCTGGGAGACGCTGGCCCAGGCCGCCGACCCCTCGCAGCAGCCCGGCCCCTCCTTCGGCTCCGTGTGCGCCCCCTGTGCCAGGTTGGGAGCAGGGTGCCCGGACGCGTGGGTCGGCAGGACAAGAAGGCGTCCCTGCCCTGCGTGGGGCTCGCCTCCCAGCAGAAGCTTCTGGGCGTGGGGGCGGCCGGCAAGGCTGCTGTTGTGAAGCCGGGGCGTTCGTCCTCATGCGGCCGGAGGGCACGCAGCCTGCAGGCGGCAGGCCCCGATGCTCACCAGGGTGGTCGCCTGCGGCCCCGCGTGGCCCCTCATGCTGAGCTCCCGCCGTGGTGTCCCGGCCCAGGCCTGGGGGGCAGATGCCCGCGCTGTCCCCATGCCACGCGCCGGAGGTTTAATTAGCCGGCGCCACAGAGCGCCAAGGCCTGGCCGGCTCCGAGGACGGTCTGGGCCCAGCGCTTGGCCTGCAGAGGCCTCTCTGTTCGCGTCTGGGTGACACGCGGTGATTCAGACGCCTGCCAAGGCGGGCGGCCCTGTAGGACAGCTCATGTCCCCAAGGCCACAGGCCACGGAGGGCGGACAGCCCGTCACCCCTGCGTCCAGACCCACGCGGCCCCGAGTGGGTTTGCCGAGCGGGGCAGGGTCAGGGGACGTCCCTGTCCCCCCCGCCCGGGAGCCTCCCCGGGGCTCACGCTGACCTGCGTCGTGGTCTCCTGCGCCTGGCATTCGGGGAGGGCAGCCCCCGCGGCCGGGCCCGGCAGGGCCGCCCTCGCGGGGAAGCCCCGGGACTCACGGAGCGTCCTGAGGCCGCAGCTCGGTCCCCGCCACGGTGGGGCCGGGCCAGTGGCCCCAGGCTTGCCCCCTTCGGTGCCTCGCTGTCCCCGTGTGTCGCCCAACCTGATGTCCCAGGAGCGGCCCCCCTGGGAAGAACTCGTCCTACCCTTCTAAACGGTCGCAAACGCCCCAGCAGTCTGTCACCAAGAATGTGACAACAACAAGCGTGTCTCCCCGCCCGGCAGGCTCGTATCCGTGCTGACCTTCCCGTCCCCTAGGCCTCCTTCGTCACCGTAGGCTGGGGGTGCACCTTGCCCGGAGGTGGCTGTCAGTGTGGACGCACGGGGCGGGCGGGCACAGCGTTGGCCACCCCCGTGGCCTCCCCAGCAGCCTGCTCCCAGGGCCAGATGTGCTGCAGCCCTGGACGCCTCCCCCCGCAACGCTGGAGCCCACAGCCAAGGTCGGGGACCACAGGCTCGCCGGCTGTCAGCGGCTGTGGCGCCAGCTCCCCGGGAAGTGGCCGTGCCGTGGAGGCCCCGCGTCCTTCGCCGAGGGAATCGGGCCTTGACTGGGGTTCCCGGGCGCCCCGGCCGCCCTGCCAGTGTTCCTTCCAGCTCGGCCCGCCTCACAGGCTCCCCTCCCCGCAGAGGGTGAAGTGCACCCTGAGCCACAGGCACCCGGCTCTATCAGGTGACGCGCCCCCCAGGCCTGTCTCCCCATCCAAGCGGTCCCGGGGGCCTGTCTGACACCAGGGCCGCTTTTCGAGTTACCATTAGCAGGGCCTGGGGGCTTCCTGTCCCCCGACAGTGTCCCTCGCGGAAAGTGGCTCCCTGGCCCCTCGGAGCCCTTCCCTGTCCCCGCCCCTCCCCCGCCGGCGCCCCTCCCTGCTGTCTGCACCCTGGCTCCCTTGACGCCCCAGAGCTGGGGAGGCTCTGCTGCGGCCGGCAGCCTTTGAAGTTCCACTTCTTTTGGAAAAAAAAAAAAAACAACAGACCGAAAAAGAAAACAAAATGCAGTCGGGAGGCCCGGCGGGCAGGGCAGCCAGGGGATCGGGACGCGCCGCGTGGCCCTGCGGAGGCGGCTGCGGGTCTGCCCCGAGGGGCCCCAGGGCCCTCGGCGCCTCTGGACTCAGTTTCCCCTCTGCGGAGCGAGTCCGGGGAGGAGACAAGCCAGTGAGCACACACTTTGGATTTCTTTTTTAGGTTTTTTTTCCCCATTTTCTTCATTTTAATTTAATTTCCAGTGTCTTCGGTTAATTCTTCTACGGTGCGTTTTCCGTCACCATCCAGCCCCCCGCTACTCCCTCCCCCGCGAGCCCCGCACCGTTGTCTGTGAGCCCTTTTTCCTTTCTGCTCGATCCCTCTCACCTTCCCCAGCGTCCAGGTTCTCAGCTTGGATTTGTGCTCATGGAGAGAGTCAGTCGCGGCTTCCAGGCGGCCCCTGCACTCCCGGGCTTCGGGGGGCCTGGGTCCAGGCGCTTTGGGGGCACTGCTTTCCGCACGCACGGATTCTGCGTGCAGACCGGCTGCTGTGGGGGCCCCTGTGTGTGCCAAGCTTCCGGCCCCCGAGAGCAGATGGAAGGGAGACGTGAGGGCAGGGGAGGGAGACCCGTGCCCAGTGCAAAGCAGCCGCCTTGCGGGTGAGGTGAGGCCGTGGGCACAGCCTTCCTGTGTGGAGAGTTTGCAGGGCTTGGGTCTTCTTGGGAACGGCTAGAGCCTGGCGCAGAGGCTGCCGGCAGACCCCCACGCCACCTCCCCGGCCGCTCGCGGCCTTGGGGAAGCACGTGGTCAGTGGGGCTGGCCACACTCTATCATGGCGGAGGGAAGGGTCCTCGAGGCTGCTGACAGATGGGGAAACTGAGGCTGGCCCAGTCTGCCGACCCCTCACCCCGGTCCGGGTCCTTCTGGTGCCGGATTGGCTGGGTCCTCCGCTGGACCACACAGAGGAGGGGACACAACACACCTTTTTGGGAGAGTTCCTAGCGTGGGACCCTCGTGGGGCCCCGGAGCAGACGTGACAAGCAGCCCCGGCTGCCACGGGAAGGGCGGGCCGGTGCCCTGCGTCATGGGGCCCAGGCCGGGGCGGTGCGCACGGCGGAAACGGTGGGCCACTCGGGCATCCGGGGCCGGGGCTGGGGTGAGTGGATCAGCGCCCTGGGGACAGGGTCCAGGACAGGTGGCCGGGGAGGGGGCACCACCAGCTGGCACACGGGAGGGGCTCTGGGTCCGAGGGCCCCCAGGGCCCCGGGGCCTGGCACAGAGCGCCTGGAGCTCCCAGCCTGTGGCTGACGAGACCCCACGCAAACACCAAAACGTGAGCCCGGCAGAGTGCGTGCTGAGCTGGAGGGAGGGCCCCTCGGGTCTGTCTGCCCCCCCCACCAGTCCCCGTTCCTGGGCCTCAGACAGCCTGTGGCTCCGGACCCCCAGAGCGAGCGCTCTCTGCGCCCGCTGGCGCCCGGGTGCAGGGGGTCGGGGATCCCAGCACATGGGGACCTCCGGGGGGTCGGGCTCGGCTCTGCCGGGAGGCGTGGAAGGAGGCAGGCCGCTGGGGGTCCACGAAGGGCTGGTGTGGCTCAGACAGCCCAGTGGGACCCGGGGCCCTGGGCCCAGGCCCCGCACGGAGTCACCTGGCCTCCCCGTCCACAGTCCTCCAGCCGCCGGGCTGGCCTCTGCTGCACCAACTGCCACACGACCACCACCACGCTGTGGCGGCGCAACGCGGACGGCGAGCCCGTGTGCAACGCCTGCGGGCTCTACACGAAGCTGCACGGGGTGAGTGGGGCAGCCCCTTCCCCTGCCTAGAGGGGGCGCCGGGCCGCAGCTCACCCTCGGGGCGGGGAGGGCACGTGGGCTCCGGCAGTGCCCGGCCGGTGGCGGCCGCGGGGGCCTGGGGGGGCCTGGGGGGAGCGCGGAGAGGGACCCACCAACCGCCCAGCCCGTCTCTACCAGGTGCCCCGGCCCCTGGCGATGAAGAAGGAGAGCATCCAGACGCGGAAACGGAAGCCAAAGAACGTGGCCAAGACCAAGGGCTCCGCAGGTGCAGGGCCCGGCCCCTCCCCCGGGGGGGCCTCCAGCCCCGGAATCGGCCCCAGCGCCTCCCTTGGGGCCACAGTCTCCCCGTGGAGCCGCATAGGTGTCCCACATTCCACTATCGGAGATGTACACATTGGAAGCGAGTGCTGTCCCCGGAGTGCAAAACCCCGCTCCTCCCGGGGGTGGCTGGGGGCGAGGGGCAGGGGCCTGAGCTCGCCCGGCAGCGAGGCAGGAGGAGCTGAAGCGGCTCCCCAGCCCCTCACCTGTGCTGTGACAGCCTCCGCAAGCGTCCCCTTTCCTCCCAGGGTCCACGGGCAATGCCGCGGCCTCACGGCCGTCCTCTGTCCCCAACCCCGAGAACACAGCGGCCACCTTGAAACCCGAGCCCGGCCTGGCGGCCCCTGCCTGCCCTAGGCCCAGCGTCGCCTCACAGGTAAGGCAGGCGGGGTGGGCGGGTGCCCAGAGCTGGCTCCTGGGCGCCGCCTGGGGGAGCCCCGACCCCCGGCCCGGGCACGGCCCCCGCGGGCCCCGCCAGGAGCTCAGGGCCGGCACACGGCCCGTCGCCGGTGCGGCTGAGAGCCCGGCCTGTGTTGTCTTGCCATCGACGCTCACCAGGGGCCCCCGCCCCATTCCGGCAGGGAGGAGGCCCCTCAGGGTGAGGCCCCCCGACCCCCCGTGAGCCGGCCTGCGTCCCTGCGTTCCCACGCGTCCCTGTCCCCCCGGCAGGCCCCCAGCCAGGCGGACGAGCCCCCGGCCCCCAGCCACGTGGAGTTCAAGTTCGAGCCCGAGGACTTCGCCTTCCCCTCCGCGGCCCTGGGCCCCCAGGCCGGCCTTGGGGGAGCCCTGCGCCAGGAGGCCTGGTGTGCACTGGCCTTGGCCTAGGCCCTGTCACCCACCGGGCCCCCTCGTGGCCGGCGTTGCTCCAGCCCCAGGATGTCCCGTGGGGCCACCGCCAGGAGAGACGGGAGCCAGCAGGGCGCCAAGGCGCTGCGCGTCCCTCTGCACGGGGCGGGAGGCCTGTCCTGGTGGCTGCCGAGCCCCAGAGCAGGAGGAGTCCGCGGCGACAGGGGCCGGGCCCCCCACACGGCCGGGGCCCTGAAACGTGGCGCGAGGCCCTGCCCCGCGCTAGCCGGGCGCCCGCTGCCGACCGGCCTCTGTTGTGAACGCTTGCCATCGCCCCTTCGCATGGCGCCGCCGCCGCCGCCGGAAGACCCACCTTCTGTGCCGCGAGTCCTGGGGAGGCCGGGGAGGCCCGGGGCCCAGGGCCTGTCCCTGTGCTCGCCCCTGGGGCAGGTGTGCGGGGCGCGCAGGCAGGACGCCCCCCCAGCGGAGCCCCGCCCCGCGCGGCCGCCGCAGACTTGTGCACGCGGACGGTTTGCCCAGAAAGACAGTAAAGGACGTTGTTCCGATGGAATCGGTGTGCCTGAGCATCTCTGAGGGGCAGGCGGGGGTCCCTGAGCCCCCGGGACACGTCCCGGCTTGTCTGTGGCCCCAGAAAAATCATGCACTGCCCCCCCGCCATTCTCCCCCGGAAGCCCCTCCCAGGGTCGGGTGACACAGGAGCGGGTCCTGCTGGCTCTGCCCACGCCGGGTGTCCGGGTGTCAGCCAGCGTGGCGGGCGCGCCCTGCCCGAGGGCCACCGACACCTGTACCCAGACGCGGCCTCTCACCCTCGGGGCCTCCGGGTTTTCCCCGAGAAACCAGAAGCTGGAACGTGTTCTCTATCATGCACAGCCTTCCCAGTGAAAGCTGCTTTCCCCCAACTCCTAACTTGATTTAAAAATCTTTTTTTTAATTTTTATTTATTGATTTGAGAGAGAGAGGAAGAGAGAGAAACAGCGGAGAGAGATGTGTTTGTGGTTCCACTCATTCATGCATCATTGGTTGCTTCCTGCGTGACCGGGAATCGAACCCGCCACCCCGGCGCGTGGGAACGGCGCTCCAGCTGAGCTGCCCGGCCAGGGCCTGAGTCACAACCTTTTAAACGTGGCGGGCCCTCTGCACGTAGCGAGCAGCTGCCCTTGGGCCGCCCTGTTGGTCACCCCTGGGCTCCCTTGCTGTTCAACCAGCCCAGTGTGCACACGGTGTCTTCCATTGGTTTAAAGACCAGGGAGGCCACAAGCAAATACGTGAAATAAAGAGCTTGACTTTGTCTTCCCGTCCCATCCCCTGTGGGACTTCCTGGCCTCGAGGTGGCAGGTCCAACATTCAGACCGCCCCTTTCAGGACAGCAAGGCCCTGAGGGCGCCTGCGGGATCAGGTGACGCTCATAAACGGAACTCGTTCAGGGTTTCCCACCAGCCTCGTTGCCCCTCTGTGAGTTGGGGATCCCCAGCCCCCCCTTCCCATGCAGAGCTGCTGTGGGACCCTCCCCTGAGGAGCCGGTTAAATGCAGCATCTCAGGCCCAGGGCCAGATCCGTGGCGGCTGGGGCCTGGGAACCGGCACGCCCCCGGGCACCCAGCGGTCCCTGCGGTGGCCACACCGGGAACCAGGCGCCGCGGAGGAAACCGCTCCGGGCGGGGCGGCCTGTCAGCTCACACACAGCCGCACTTGCTACCAGCGCCCTGGACGGGAGGGACGCCCGCAGACCTGCCTGGGGGCGGCGCCCAGGTGCCAGACGGCTGCCGCAGCGTCTCCGTGCCCACGGGCTTCCCGGGGAGCAGACTGAGGCACAGCCGCGAAGGGGTTGCCCGTGTCCTCATCCAGCCCCGCCCTTCCCCTCCGGGGGGGGGGCACCTGATGAGGGAAGCTGAGGCACCAGGTGACATGAGGCGCCAGGCCACAGCGAGGTGTGGAGGGGGCAGCGAGCATCCCCACGACACGGTGCTGCCCCCGGGGAGCCTGGTGGCTTCCATCCGAGCCTCCGGTCCCCCATCTGTAGCTGGGGGAGGGCCGCACACTCATGGCTGGGCCTGCAACCCACACACGTGTGCAGGGGCCCTGGGCCCGCGCATCCCCGGGATTGGAGGCAACGCTTGGCGCTGAACAACTCGGGCAGGCGTCCTGGAGGTGGCCACAGCGGGCGGACAAATGGGGCAGGGTCCCCACAGAGGGAGGGGTGCCCTTGGGGAAGAGGGAAGAAGGAGCCCTCTCTCCCGCCTCTTGTTGTCTTTTCCAAGGATGTGCCCAGGGTGAGGGAGGGCAAGCCCCCCGCCTCTGGGCACGGACGGGTCGCTGCTAAATTTAAGCCTTTCTCCCCAGTGCCTCTCGGGCCGGAAGCTGTCAGGGCCTGCAGCCTTATTATAGCCGCCAAGCACCCCCTTCCTGCGGCTCTTCCTCCCGCCGCCGCCCCCGAGGCTCTGCCCACTGGTCACAAACAACCGGACGCCGGGAGGCTGGCAGGCCTGGGCAGCCGGGCCGCTTACCAGAGCAACAGGATGGAACGAAAGGGGCTGCGCCCGCTGCATCTCCCCGCCCCCCCCGCGGCCGGGGGAGGGGCGCCCCGGCCCCACCCCAGAGAGCGTCCACCGCGCCCCCACCGGGCGATGTCCTGCGTGCGGGGGAGGGGAAGGCCCCGCCGGGGAGCGGAGGCCTGGGGCCTGCGGGGCACAGCAGGGGGTCGCCCGGCCCGTGGGCTGCGGCTTCTCGGACCAGCACCTGCTCCTGGCCTCCTCGCCCTTAATTCCTTGTTTCAGTCTAGACACCGAGCGGCGGCCAAAAGCGTCCCAGGGACAAGCCAGCAGGCTCGCCCTGTGGCGTCCCCCCATCCCCCGCCCCCAAACACGGGTCCCTGCTGATGGCATCCGGGGCTGCCGCGCGCCAGGCCTTCCGGCCTGCCTGCTGCCGCCCTCTGCCCTGGGCCCTCAGACGCACTGCACCCCCCGGCCCAGCGGTGCCCGGACCCCGAGCTCCTGTGGGGCTGGGCTAAGGGTCGGTCTCCCCTTTGTGGCGGCAAAGGACGGCGCCTTGCAGAACGAGCTCAGACCCCCGAGGCCCTCCGCCGGGCCACGCCTGGTGCGAGACCACGCACGGGGCTCGCCGTGAGGCAGAGCGGGGCCGTGGGGAACCCGCCCAGCCGCCGGCCCTTGCTTTGACCGGCTCAGGAGAAGACCGGCTGCTGCCGTATTCTGCCACCAACCCCGGGGGACGGCGGTCCCTGGGAGGGAGCGAGGTCTTCACGCCCTCGTTGCTCTTTCCTTTGCCACAAGCCCGGGGACAGTCGTGGCGACTCGGGGGCTGCCATGCGGACAGGCCTTGTGGACGGGGCCCAGAAAGGGGCTGCCGGGGCTCCCCAGGTCCTGGCCCCCCAGGGACCTCTTTGGGAAGACGCGAAGCCAGAGGGACCGGGGCCCCCGAGGTCGGGAGGCCGTGGGTGCCATGTTTATCACCCACAAGCACCTCCACAGGGGCCGGGCTGAGCCCCCCAGACCCATCGGAGCCAGGGGGGGGTGGGCGGGCCCTCGCCGGCCATGCGGAGGCCCCCCGGCAGTGCCCTGCAAGGCCCGCCAAGATGTTGACACGGACGGCTCCAGCCGACTTATTTATTATCTGATAAAGGGCTCTCGGCACCGCTGGTGGACGGCGTCTGGCCGCACTGGGGCCTGGGGGAGGGAGCGGTGGGCGGGGGCCCGGCGGCCGGAACAGGCCTGCCCACTGGCGTCCAGGGAAGGCCGCGTGGAGGGATCTGGGCCCTTCCTCCCCCAGCGGCCAGCCTCGCCGCGCCAGCGCCCCTGGGCCCGCAGGCCAGGAGAAGCCCCGCTCCCGCGCGGAGCCGGCCCCCGAGGCCTGTGCCCCCTTGCTGCCGGACCCTGCTCCCCTGGGCCCAGGAAAACCCCCGGCTGGGGCCCCCGTCCGCCCACCCCTCCCACCCAGTTACTGCCACAGCCCGTCCCCCACCCTCCGCTTGGCCCGCAGCTCGGACTTCCCATGATGCAAATCGGGGCCTGTTTCCCCTTTGCTTCCAAACGCTCCGGCCCAGGTGCCGCCCAGCAGCCGCTCCGCCGGCTGCGGCCATGGCGGCCCCGCAGCCTCAGGGCCCCCTTCTGCGGCGCCCGCGTCCGCTCCCTGGGACCCGCCGTGGCCCTGGGCCTTTGCGTGTGCTGTTCCCTCTGACCACGGTGCCCGTCCCCGTCTGCACCTAATCGGGGACACGGTCCTTGGGCATCAGGGCCTCCGGCGCCAGCTCCCCCGCAGCCTTGCTCAGACAGCACTTGGCAGCGGCGATGGGAGTCCGTGCCAGGCAGGGCCGCCGCCCCCGACCCCCGGGGCACGGAAGGATCCGCCTTAGCTGCCACCATGGGGGCCTCCGTTAAACGGCCAGGAGAACGCGTCCCGGGAGCATTTGAAGAGCAGAGCTCCCGGAGTATTGAACCGTTCCAGCTCCTTCTAAAATGTTTTTCCTAAACCCACTCCGAGTCAGCTTGTATAGCCGAGGAGGCGACAAAAAGGCCTCCACCGGGTCTCCCCGGCCGGCCCTGCCCGCCGGCCTCACCGCCCCCTCCTGAGCAGTGGGTGGGTCTGCCTGGGAGGGGCCGGCGGAGGCTCGAGGGCAGGTAGGGGCCGCCTGGGCCCACCTGGTGACCTGGCCACAACCCGGACAGGTCTCTCCCGGGGGAGCCCCAGCAGAGGCAGGTGGCGAGCGCTGTCCCCTCTGCTGGGGCCTCGAGAGGCGGGGAGGCAGGGCAGGTCCCCTCGGGTGGCCTGCCCGGCCCAGGCCGCACAGCCTCAGCCTCAAGGCCCCCTCTTCAGGCAGCCCCGCCCGTCCACAGCGATCCAAGCAGAGAGACATCCCAGCTTCTCTCCTGCGCCCGCAGCCTTCCTGGCGCTTGGGCACCTGTCGCCACAGGTGTGGCTGTCCCCAAGCTCCCTCGGTCTCGCCCACTTGAAAAGGCCTTCCCTGAGGGCAGTGTCCCTGCAGCGAGCCCGGCACCCGCCGATGAA